AGTCAGCTCCGTCTTCTGTATCCTTATATCCCCTCACCTTATACCTCTAAATTATCTGTAACTCAGCCGACACCCGCTCTGATTTTTCCTCACAAGTCTGTACTCGTCTAGATCGAGTACAACAATTATAGGCCAGCGTTCTGTCGAAGGAGTTGCAGCTTCTTCGATTAGACCGCCAGTCTACCAACCGGACACTGTATGACCTTGCTTCATGCCCACTTCCATCTCAGAAGTCTTGAGGCGTTCCGTCGTCTCCTCGATGGCGGCAGCGACCGCGGTACACATACCGCCATTAGCGGAAGCGTCGGCAAGTCATGGAAGGGCGCAAGCGCACTGAAATCCGCCATGGCGTGCGACGTCAACGCTCTGGACCGCATGGGACGTAGCGCTCTGCATCTTGCGTGTGCTACTCCGGACGCCGTCGAGTACGTTCGGGCGCTGCTGAAACACCCCATGGTCAACGTCAACCTCTCGGACCTTGAGGGCCACTGGACGGCACTCCACCGTGCGTTGTATAATGGCAACCTGGCAGCAGCGTCAGTTACTTCTATCGTCCGACCTGGAGATATTGACGCGGCGATAACAGGCTTTTGCTGCTGCAACGGTCCGATATCGACGTGTCGCTCAAGGACTTGGAGGGGCACACGGCTTTCGACCTGTACAACTCCACTGTACGCGGAACCTCTCCAACCCATGCCTTGCACGCCGAATTGCACACATGGGGAGTCAACAGGTAGCACATTCGCTTATATATCTGGCCCCGCTTATCGGTCGCCAGGAACGCTGCTCTGGGCTTGGTAGACAGTGGCGATAGGACATATCCAGACCTAGTGTCCATACTCAAAGAAGAACCTGAGCCCAGTTCGATTGCTCGCTTCTCTCCCTTGTTCGCCCGCCAAATCCAGATGTCCAAGCTCCACACAGGCGAGCATCGACGGTCGTGCCATTTTTTCTGGCCTAACGTTGTTGTTCTCCACAGTCGTTGTGACGTCGGAGAGTAAAGCAAACCTACGTGTGTGCGGATTTGGTAGCGGCGGGCGGTAAATTAGGATGTTCTTTTCTCGCCAACCCAACTAATACACACTCATAGTTTGGGCCCCGGGCAGCACACTCAGTATAGTCTTGTACCGCTCCCTCAGCTGTCCCAGTCGATTGTATCTGTGGCTTTAGGCCAGGACCATACGTTGGCACTGACAAGTGCTGGCGAGGTTCTCAGCTGGGGTTTGTCCCGCTTCCACCAGCTTGGCTATGTGGTAGAACCCTCCACTACAACCGGTCGACTCGAGGAACCCATCCAGGCTTCTCCGCGAAAGATCTACGGTCCACTCAAGAAGGAGGTGGTGAAAGGTGTCGCTGCGTCGAAACAGTGTTCTGCTTGTTGGACAGCAACGGAAGTATTTACCTGGGGTACCAACAACGGGCAACTTGGTATGTTGATACTTGACGATTCGTCTACCGGTTGACCTTACCTCACTAGGATATGACAAGGCTGCCCAGCCTGTGCAGATTATTCCGCGGAAAGTAGCAAAGGTGGTTCGGCCAGTTCTAGCAATCTCCTTGACTGTTCGTGCACAAGCTCTTCTCCCGTCTTTTACTCAAATTGGGGTCAGGATCATGCGATGGCTTGTCTTCTTGACACCCAGGACGTCGTATGTATCTGGAACGATCGGTACATCAAGATCATGTATTTTCTCGTTTTTGAGTCCGCGACATACAATTTACACCCTTCTCTAGCTTCCCCATACATGCTTTTCCGTCCGAGATACAACCGTACCGACCACCGCAGGCGATGAAGCTTAAAGATGCACACATTGCGAAAATTACAAGCTGCGAGGATGCTTTCGCCGCTCTGTCATCCAACGGTGAACTGTTTACGTTTGCGGTGCCGGACCCGAGCGAAACAGATGCAAATGCCGGTCGAGGACAAGGATTCAAACCCCAGCGCGTTTGGGCGCTGCGGAAGCAGTTCAGCGCTGTTCAAGACGTAGCTCTTGGTGCCGACGGCAGCATTATCATCTGCACTCAATCGGGACACGTATTCGTTCGCACGCGCAATAACAAGACGGGCCAAAGCACTGGCGCGGGGTCTAACAAGACTTTTAAGTTCCAGCGGGTGCCATTTATACAGCGTGTGACGCAGGTATGCGCGAATAGTACTGGTGCATTCGGTGCGCTTCGAGTGGACTTCAAGCCAGTCCCGATTCGCATCGAGGGCAACACCATGTCGGAGGATCTGGCAATCATTCAGCCATACATCGCGTCGCCCCCAGCCTCTCATTCAAAGGACGAGTCTGCCCCCGTTCCAGATTCGCCCAAGTGGGTGTATGTCCATGATGATGGCGACGATACGGATGATTCCGGGATCGAGGCCGATTTTGGACGGATCTGGCGTCTATGTCGATTACTTGGAAAGGCCACTGTTCATCCCGCCCGGCATGGCGCCGACATCATGGTCCATGTAAAAAGCAAGACCGTCTTTCCTGCCCATCAGGTCATACTAGGAGCTCGTTCCCATATTCTATGCGGTATCCTCGACGGAGCTCAGATGCACGATGCCCAGTCGAGCATTACAATCCGAGCCTCTCGCGCTTCTGGGCCTCTGGGTGCACGTCTTGACGTTAAGGGCTGTGAGCCTATAACAGTCCTCGTCTTGTTCCAGTACCTCTACTCTGACCAACTGTTGGCGATTTGGGACCGTCGGCTAGCTTCGGCATTGCAGCACGAGCTGACTAAGCACGAGATCAAACCTACACAGGTCAAGGTCGAACTACTGGCGCTTGCGCGTATCCTGGACCTTCCTCTCCTCACACAAGCCCTTGGTTCCCCTGCGAAGCGCGTCCCCTTACCTTCCGTCGTGCGCGACATGGAGCAGCTGTTCCGCACGGCACAGCTCAGCGTACGGACGAAACATGGCTCGGCCAAGACCTCCATCGCTCCGGACGTCGTCCTTCAGTTGGCGGACAGAGACGTGTACTGTCACTCGGCGATCTTGCGTGCACGGTGCCCGGTATTTGCCAGTTTCTTTGACGAAGATGACTGGACAGCCAAGCGGTGGGACGCGAATGGTTCCATTACGATCAATCTCAAGCATCTGCGATGGCACGTTATGGATTATGTGCTTAAATACTTGTGTTGTGGGGGAGATGCCGAGATTTTTGAGAACCTTGGCAAGTTCTGCGTCCTCAGCTTTTCAGGGGACTTATTTTCTCTCCTGCAGGGTTTGCACGATCCGTGGATGAGGTCTTGGAATTCATGTTTGACGTTATGGCTGCTGCTGTAAGAGTTCATTTCCTCCAATCTTGGGCGATGATTTAATCCTTTTGCCAGAATGAGTTGCTTCTTGATCGCTTGGTTCTGCTCTGCTCTGCTGTTATTCTCAGATGGACGGATATCAACAATGTTTGCTACATACTCACCGACGCGTCCCATTTTCATGCACAGCAGCTAGTCGAGAGCATAGAAGGCTACATGACCTCAAACATGGAAACATTACTGGAAAGCCGTATGCTCGATGATTTGACGCCTGCGTTGATCAAGCAGCTATCCAACTTTGTGGTTCGGAAACAAACGGAGAAGAGTCCCAAAGTCCGCTCCAACTATATCGTAGACCGAGCCATGGCGATACATGGAGATTGGCTCGCTCTACAAGACTTCCCAGAGACCATTATCCTATCGTCAAGGCTCCCCGCCCGCAGAGACGCAGCTCCGCTCTCACCTGACCCATCCAAGCGTAGGCGGTCCAGAACTACGTCGTTGTCGAATAGTCCCGTCATCGTACCTCAAGCATCGGCTGGCGCCATCGATGATATTTTCGAGATGGACGATACTGAAGCACTTGTACTACCGGCGTCAGCTGTTCCGGTTTGGAAAGCGTCCTCTGCGCCTCGGTTAGTCGGTTTATCGCAGCTCATGATCGATATTGACCTGATATTGAATAGCGTTGACATGAAGACAGTGATGGCGGAAGCAGCCTCTGGTACGGCTCCTCGCCGCGAGTCCGCCGGAACGGGAGATCCATCCCTGCGATTTAGTCACCAGAAGACCCCCCAACGGGAACGCAAAAAGTTCCAAGCACCGACGGACACAACACCAGACGGGACTTCTGCTGTCCGCGCTGGCAGCTCGCCCTGGAAGCTGCCGGTCTCTCGGCACCAAGGCGTTTCTCCCACGAACTCACCGCCCATCACCCCTTCGACAAGTCTGAATCGGACCCAGGAAGCCTTCCCCACTCCAGCAGCTGCCGCAAACACGCCTGCAACGCCGCCTCGCCAACGAGGTCCCCAGCCGCCACAGCCGAACCTCGGGCCCGTCTTCACACCGTCCCGTCAACCCAGTTCTCGTCCTGCTCCCGCAAGTATCCGCCGCGTGTCGTAAGTCGAGTTGTTGAATTCGCATGTAACATCGTTCGCTGACCATCGAATAGCAGCAGCAACAAGGCCTGGACCCAGCCTCCACCCGCACCAGTTGCAACGCCCTCTGCCCCCGTCTCGGGAGTGTCATTCGTAGCTATTCAGCAGTTGCAGCTCGAGCAGACATCCAGTGGTCGAGACAAACGGTCGCTGCGAGAGATACAGGAAGAGGAGAAAGCCCGCCAGGCGGAAGCGGACTTTTTGAAATGGTGGGCCGCTGAAGAGGAGCGCGTCAAGGCTGAAGCCGAGGCGGCCTCTCGTCCACGCGATCCCACCAAATCCCCTAGACGAAATAAGAAGGCCAAGAACCAACGGCCGCCACTACCTGGACCTATGCTATCTGCTTCATATGCCGGCTAGAGTTGTATATTACTTTGGGACCCTATGAATATGTACATATGCGTGTATCATGATGTGCTCGCGATAATCATTCAAATTTGGTCACAGTCAAAAGCGGAGAGTTGGCACCTGCAACTTCTTCGCTGTGATTAGTCCTCTTCTGAAACAGGTTATGCGTCCCGTTTTAGTGCAGAGTCGCTGAGGAAAGCCTATTGTAACTGGGCTGTTCAGGACTAAAAAGAACTGATCAAACGACATCGGCATGACTCGAACATGCGCCCATAAAATGGAACAGATAAGCTATTCAATTCGAATCTGTCGCGTTAACCACTCCGCCACGATGCCGTGAAATAATATCCCTGTGTGAGCCGTTGACTCTTTGCGAAGTGATATGCGACGGAGAGCCTTATGCCTATACTTTCACGGCGGAGTCTGAGAGAGAACTGGATAATGCAAGGAAAAAGTTACCCGACCACTTGAACCATTCGCCCGAGTCCGGGAGCCAGACCGCGAGGCGAGAAGAGGGAATCGAGGGTCGTGATCAGTCGAACTTTGCGGAGCTTCGAAACCAATTATTCTAATCGATTCACTGCGAAATCCAAAAGAGAACACCCCCTCCTCGTAAGTAAACGTTATATAGATCATAAGCATACGTTACTTGGGCCAAAGACAAAAATAAAATCGTAGAGAGTCAGAGTTATTATATCAAGCAGGATCCAACGGGTAGTGGTATATTTTCCGGCACAGCTGCCAGAGCTTCTCCGCGCCTCGGAGGAGCTTTTCAAGCACCAAATCCACGTCAACCTCGGGCCAAGTTATGTTGAAGCGGAGAGGCTGAAACAGGGCAAGAGAGGTGGATGAGTCGGCAGGTAGTGGTTTCGGAGTCAAGGTCGGGACCACCCGCGGATACTCTATGGAGGGAGACGGTGGTGGGGAGGTCGTCACTACCGACGCTGTACTGCTGGGACTGGGCTGTACTGGTTCCGAAGCAGAATCCGACTCGACGCCGCTGTTGAACCAGGGCCACCGAGTTGCCTGAAAGGCGGTCGTCGTGATGGTGATCGGATCCGGGGCGTCCTTCCACCCAAGGCCCGCACCAGTGGAATATCCATCCAGTGCATTTGAGAGTTCATACATCGCGGAATTCAACCGGATAAGATACATGGATCCAATAATAAGCAGCGCCCAAGATATGAGGAGTAACGTGAGTTGCCCGACACTTGACGAGAAGAGGTGTAGAGAGTGGCGATCTAGTCGGATGTCTAATGATATGTGGGGGTAGAAAAAGGCCTGCAGTGAATAATGCAATAGTCTTCGTCCAGATCTTATAGATTGATGGTGGGAGAAATTAGATCGCAGTGAAGAAATCTCTAAACCTGAAGCAAAGATTAACTGGTAGCGAGAACGAAAAGGGTGCCAGACTTGCCTGGAATCCCATCAATATTAACCTCCAACCTTCCCACAGGTATCCCGAATGATGGCAAATAAATATCGAACTGTGTGTGATCCTTTGCCTTCATTTTCCCCTTCCTGTCCGATGTTTGGCCGTCCACATCCTTGACCACATAGTCGACTACTACGCGCCCACCACCGGCCGCGCCAACTCGCAGCTTCACCCAACTAACCCACTCCTGGCTGCTCATTTGCTCAAACGGCAGCCCGACACCAGCCTCCTCCTGCTTGACGGCTACAGTAGTCTCGTACAACACGGGTACATCGTCCACGCTGACGCTCACGATCTCCACCTTTGGCGGCCCCACGCCCGCCAAAGCCGAACCCCCAGATGCATGCTTCGCGAGCCCGAACTCTAGCCAGTCCGAGTCCGCATCCACCGGCGCTGCTAGACATACGCGCACGGCGTACGCCGTGGGTACCGCCGCAAGACGGCTGGCTGCACTCTCCGGCATCACGACAAGCGGCGTCACAACGGCGACCACACTCGGGATCATCAATACACCGTCGCGTTTCGGGCGCGCAGGAACCATCCCGAGGACCGACATCGCGCGAGCGGCGGAGGGGACGCGGTCACGGGTTGTCTGCCCGCTGCTCGGTGTCCTCGGCCGACTCGGTGGGTGCAACTTCCCGTTTGCCACAACGCCACCATTAACATTCGCCGCCGTAGTCGCGAAGGGGATGCCCGCCTTGACCGCGATGCGCGTGCGCTCCGTGCACTTAGCATACCCCCCACGCTCGAGCACCGTCTTGCTCGGGCTTGGCCCTCGTTGATGTTGATACGATTCGCCCTGCGCACTGTGATTCACCTCGACGGTGCACGGTGAGCCCGGCTCGACCTCATTGCGGACGATGATGGACGTGGACTCGTTGTCGGCGGCGAGAACGGTGAAGCGCGGAATGATGACGGATTCCGGATCGATGGGAGGCGACTGTGCCTGCGCGTCCAGATCGTGCTCTCCACGGACAGGCGAGGCGCTGCGTGACGGAGGTGCAGGGGCAGCCCGTGGACGCGGCGTGACCAGCACGGTTCCCGATATCCAAAAAGGGAAGGAGTTTTTGGATGCAGGGAGGGTCAGCTCATTCATATTGACGTGTATCGTTACCGGGACCCCTGGGGGACGCGGAGTCGAGTCCATCGACGGATTTGAAGCGGGAAGGAGTGAGCCCACGGATGACTCCATCGACGTGGGTTGTGAGGCTGAGACTGAGGACGACGGACCGGAGCCTTCGAAAGAGTACTCGGGGACGTTGTGCACTGGAAGGGGCCCACGGAGGAGAGAGGATGAAGACGAGGTCGAGCTCTGCCGAGACATGCCTGAAGGACCTCGTTCCGCCGAAAGGAATATTTGTGGCCCGTTTGAATAGCTGGAATCCAGCGAATCGTGTCTCGAGGGCGGTTCAGATTTCGGAGAGGCACCGACATCAAATCCTGTATAACCCGCACCTCCTCCAACCTCCCAATCGGAGCCCTTCCCCGGCACCCACGAAATATCTGACCCCTTCGCCTCTAGACTCACGTCCAACCCAAGCATCGTGGCCACACCGGGGAACCACACACCCTTGCAGGTTCCCTTGTACTCTACATTCATCACGATGCCCTCCCGCTGCTGCTCTGGATCCCACATCTTGCCGAGCACAGCGCACGTCATCTCGCCCTTGACGTCCTTGACACCCACCCGTCGTCGGCCGTCGCCCCCACCGCCGACGACTCGCGTCGGCTTCGCCCAGCGTACACGAATGCGCTCCGCACTTGGGAACGTGCCCTGTATCCCACACCCGTCGGAGAATCCCGTGGTCGACGAGTCGCTCGACTCATCATCCGCAATGTTTCCGTACGAGAAGTTACCGGCGCGGGACTGGCGCGACGACGTGGCGCGCGTTACGTGCGGATCTGAGGTGAGGTCCCATGAGCCACCCTCCTCGTCGGCGGACGAGAGCGACGCGAAAGACGCAGACGCGGCGGTCGGTGGGAATATGCGAAGCCGGACGTTGTTGTGCAGACAGCGCGGCGTGGGGATCGAGAGAAGGTAAGGGGAGCGCGGCGGGCGGGAGGCGTACGGCACCCACATGTCGATGGCGGCCATGAATTGGACGCTGTTACGCTCGATGATCGACGAGCGGCGGAGGCTGCTGCCACCCGCGGAGCGTGAATACGCCTCGTTCGTCGGGAACGCCTTGGGGAGTACGTATGAGATGTGGTAGCCACTGACGAGGATGTGGCCCGTGTATTTGGTGTCGACAGGCGGGGTGGCGCTTTTCGAGGAGCCGTTGGACTTGGTCGAGCGAACAGAGCCTGCGACAGAGGCGCTTGTGGCGGGTGGCGAGAGCCCGAAGGCGGCGTGGTAGGACTCTGATGAGCGGCTGGGAACTGCTGATAATTCAATATGAATGCAAGCATGTTAACGGCCAACTCACGGTTAAGCGCGCGCGCTGCATGGTGCAAAAGTGGTGACAAGTCCGATGAAAAGTCGTATGGTACAGAATTGTTGTCCAGTGGGTGGACTTGTGAGGATAGGATTTTGACACTCTCCTCTGTACTAAGCTCAATAACTGTCGGGTTTAACGATGCGAAACTCACCCGGAAAGAGCGGAATGGTAGAGCCCGGTGTAACGCTCTCCAGTGGCAGCGAGATCTGTGAAAAATTGAGCAGGTGAAATTCGAAGAAATTGTCTTCCTCGCACCTTGAGGTACATCTTAATACCAGCGCCATCCTGGCCGTGTTTTGCCTTTCCCTCAATCGCTACACGTGTCACAACATTCAGCTTCTGTGGCTGCGCGCTTTGGGTGACTGTCGGCGAATACGCAGTGCCTGACGACGGGGTATTGAACACGCCAGACAGCCGTGGCCGGAGAGGTGTTGTGGTAGCATTTGTGGGAGGACTATTAGGTCTGCTGTGCCTCTGTGAAGTGGGAATAGGCATCCCGCCCGTGTAATTGCAGTCGCAAGTGTTTCAAATACTCGCGTCGCGATGTTGGCGCGTCAAAGGACACAGAAGCAGATATACACGGTGATACAGGACTCTGGGGATGGCCGCGAGGGTTTCTGGGGTATACAGAGCGAGAAAAGCACGGCCCGTGAGGGGAAGAGGCAAGCCAAATTGTTTGACGCGTCCATAGCACCAAGCAAACGGCTACAACCGTATTGTACTTCCTAACGAGGCCATCTTGGGCGACATGTTCTCTACTACCACTTCAGTTAGCACACAGCCCTCAGTGCCCGGATCTCGCTGCATTTTTTGACTGGGCTGGCTGAGGGCAAAGCTCAGTTATCTGCGAATTCGTCGTGGGCGGTGGCACTTCAGCCTTCACGACCGTTCGCATCCCAGCCCGAACCCTGGACGCCCGCGACAAACGGACGGATAAGTATTGTCCTATGAATTGTGCCCAAGGACTTGGGATGGACACAGGTAGAGAGGGAACAAATGCAGAGAATTGCCACTGGTGTGTTAGCGTCCTTCCCCCCTCACGTTCATTGAGTCGTTATCGCCTCAGTACCAGTTCCTAATATGAGACTACTTATTGCGCCATCTGGAATGAGCGGCTTGCAGAACCCGAGTTGCAATTCCTCTTAGCGATCGGAGTTGTCGAGGGACACCTCTCAACCATAAGGCTTTTACACAAAAAACTTGTCTGAATCGCAGTACAGCCCAGAAAGAATCCGCGAAGAAACCTGTGTTGATGCCTTTCCTTCATCCTTAAAAATTCGACCACAACACCCAAGACGTTTTCCACTCCGGTGGACCTGTCCCTCTCCGAGGAAAGCATGAATGACTGGTGCAGTTTCCCGTTCAGTTGATTCTTAGTACTCGCAACTGGCATGAGCTCGTACAGCAGCGGTATCAGCTAATCGGCTTCCTCTACGCGATCCACCTTCTATCCACCCAGCTTT